ATTAGCTCTGCGCATGCAACGCCTCGCTGCCTGCAGACAGATTTGGGCTCGCCGTTTGTTTCAAGCCATTGGTTCTGGCTGATTCCACAACACGCAGAGGAGAAGCATCAGGAAAATCTATAACCAATTTCTAAACCTGCAATTTGCCAAGCTAATCAATACTAATTATTACTGGCCAGTAATTGTGAATTAAACCGCCCGGCTATGTTACAGAAAACTCCACACAACTCTCCCAGCCTCCCACAGCACTGTGCTACCGAAGTCAGCTTGCTGTTCAGCTATAAAAAAAGGCTACCCTTATTTTTCATTAGAAATGGTATCAGTGGTCTTTCATTAGACCTGGCTGGAAAACCCTAAGACTTCCTATGAAGAAACAACACTACATATTCCCTGAAAGTTAAACAACGCAAACCAGATGGAAACACTTGTGCAGGACAGAAAATCGCAAAGCAAGTACCAAAATTTCTTCCCCTGCGACTCCATCATTTCAGGGCTGAAAGGCAGAGTAACATCCCAGCTATACAGTTTGCACTGGCAAACTCAGACCACGTAATCAGTAGCGGGGCAGCCGCTTTCTCCCTACAAGCTGACTCCGGCTTGCTCCTGCTCCGCAGGCAGGCAGGGCAGGCAGCTGAGTGTGGTGCGTGGCTGCCTAACACCAGCAGACCCGACTGAAAAAATGCGGCACTGAAAAGCGTACAGGTCTCCACCTTGAAACTCCCTGGCTCTCATTCAGCACCCGCTCGCAAATCAAGCCATTAATACAGACATCCCTCCCTCCCTCCCCCAACGTAGCTGTCCCCTTCTACAGCACCTCACTTGGGCAGAGCAAAACCTGACAGCTTTTGCCAGAGTTTTGCCATTTTCCGTAAAACCAGGCATCTGTTTTTAGAGTACCCAAGTCACAGCAAACTCAAAAAATGAGTCCAATATGTTAGGCAGGGAAACTGGGAGGTTAATCCTAGATTTGCCCTGTGCTCAGCACTGCTACATGCACAAGTATAAAATATCCATTATTCATTAGCATCACAGTTGTGTGGAGCTCAATCTAGATTAAACAAAATAAAGGGGCCCCAGACAGCACCATTTGCATTGTTAAGCAGGCGCTTTTCTTCAGCCTTCAAATAGGAGACTTTTCTAAATGGAAATGATGGGGAAATTTGGACAGATGTTCACTTAACTATTTAAACAGTTAGCTTAAGAAACATGAAAAATGTATTTGGCATCGTATTCACCTGTCTCCTTTCAGGGGTTTTGGGGGTAAACCAATTGTTAAACAGCTTTAACTGTTTGCATAAGATCTGAAGCTTATGTTCTGTCCAGCTGAAATCGTGTTGCCTTCTAATGTCTACATAAGCGTAGCTTTCAGCTAGTCAGCGTGCTAATCTTTTTCTCTTCTATCAAGTTTCACAGTCCTCCATACCCTCCCCTTCCCAACAGATGAACATTCCACACTTATTCTAGCACTTCCTAATTTTAATCTGCTTTTCAGGGAGTGATTTAGAGCCCTGTATATTCACCATGCTTCTCAAAATACACTGTAACTTGTAGCTCAGTGAACATGATTTTTTTTCAAATCTGCTGGAAGAAAAAGCAAAACGAACAGAGACTTTTGCCTGTTTTGTTTGCTTGTAAAAACCTGCCACCTCTGATAGCTACTTACCCAGAAGCTACTTGAGCTGAAACACTCTGAGGTTGGGAGCTTAACATTATTGGAGGAGGGAGAGAAGACAAGGAGCAGGAGGAAAACCTTTCACCCCAAGCCCCACCTGTGGTTAAATTTAAAATAACCCCACAGGAACAAACTGATCTGCATTCTGTCCCCCACACACCTTTATAACAGATACGATACTCTCTCGCACATTCACACACGCAAAGTTGAAGTGCATTGGGAAAAAAAAAAAAAAAAAAAAAAAAAAAAATATCTATCAGAAGATGCTCAGCATCTACTTACCAGCTTGGAGCTATTGGCATAAAAGAAGCTGGAAATACAGAAAGGTTTCAGGTTGGAGTAGTTTTGCTGCTTCTAAAAAAAAAAAACCAACCCTTTTTTTTTTTCATCTCCCTTTTAAGTTAAAAGGCAACAACTGTTAAGTACAGATTTATTCCCCTTTATGTAACAGGAAGACCTAGCCAGCTTGTAAATAAGCACAGACTATGCAGATTTAAAATTTAGCACAATTAAACTTTTACCCTGTGGTAGTAATTATGTTTAATGGCTCTTAGCCTGAACTTAACCATGTCTATTGTTGTCAGCCAGTCTAAAAGCAGGAGTTTGTCCAAGGACAATTTTCTGTAGTTTATAGGCACACTAAAAACCCCGCTACACACTGTTCTCATTGGCCATTGATGTCAGTGTGTATAGTAAAAATTAAAGCTAATTGGCATACAGGAGCAGCAGCGAATGCAAATGAATTAATGGGAAAAGAAGGGAGCACTCCTGGAAGTGGTAGGCAACTGTCAAAGGATGCTCTTTATGTAGTTTTGTCTGGGCTAAAGAGGGGTCTTCTGCACGATGATGCAGATCTCACTAGCTCCATGAATACACCTGAAGTTAATTCAAACTACAGTAAAGTGACAGCACCCTGCAGGTTTTTTGGGGCAAAAGAATGGTAAAGGGTACTTATT